ATGGGTATCCCTCCGAGAACTGGACCAGCCCATGATAAATCCCACCCTCGAATTCAGTTCCACTAGGGCCTTTGATTGCAAATTGCCATTCATATGGGTTCCCATCGAGCTTGAGGCACTTGAGATCGTCGGAGGGATTGGATTCAATTTCATTATACTCCTCTAGAATCTGCTTCTCCCTTGAGTTGTTTATGTTGCACTTGTCCTCCGCTATCACACCCCGATCCCATTCCATCTGCGTTGATACGACTCGATCCACAACCACCCCTTCCTGTTAACAAAACTTTAAATATACAATTATTCTCAAAATACGAAGCAAACAAGGGCTAGTCATGCAGAGTAAATATGCTAAATAGTTTTGCTTTCTTGGGGGATTTGTAGAGGTACTCATTCATAAAACCCAAAATTCCTAAAATTCCCCATCGGAATTGGTAGCATTAATAAATGTATTCCCAATTGACGACATAGGGGCCTGTGCCCTGCTGCTTTCTTTTGGCTCCATTGCCACCCTCCTCCTCTCACAAATCTTACAAATTGTTATGGAAGACAAACTTGGATTGTAAAAACCCAAGCAGTAAAGGACCCCAAGTAAAATAAATACATAAATATTTTTTGAATAGAAAATAAATACATAAATATTTATACATATATCCATATATATCTTCTCTCTGTCATTCCCATGTAAGCCCCTTCCCTTTAAACTCTTTTTTCTGTTTTGTTCATAGATAGACTAAATAAATAAAATATAAAGAAGAGGGAGGTAAAAAGAAGTTAACATAATTGACAGGTGGATTGCTGACCTGACACGGAGTGTTTTGTTCATGAAATATATTCCCAACAACGTTGTGGACGACGGAGACGCCGCCTGTGCCGTTGGGTGCCTTGCTTAGCATAGATTGATGAATCTGATCAACTAGCTGCCGACGTGCAAAAGAGCCATATCTTGGGGGTGATGCAAGAGATTTTATGGCCAGGGCACGCCTTTCTTCCTTATTGCATTCTAATGAACACAATTCATCATCTGGGAAGGTGGGCATTAAACGAATAAAATCAACCAAAACATCTCGCACCCTCCATGATGGCTGCCATAAATTCAGTCGCTTATACCAGAACTTGATATGGGTTTTGAAGCGACCATTTTCCGTCGACGGTATGATTGAAGGAGGCTTAAATGGGTATGCCCCCGGAAACAGGACCCGCCCATGATAAATCCCACCCTCGAATTCAGTTCCAACAGCGCCTCTGACTGCAAATTCCCATTCATATGGGTTCCAATCGAGCTTGATGCACGTGAAATTGTTGCAGGGATTGGATTCAATCTCATCATACTCCAGTAGAATCCGCTCTATCGCTGACAAGCACTCTTTCTCCTCACGCCGATACCATTCCATTTGATTTTGTTCGATCTTGTTACAGTGACAGAGAAGAAGAGGAAAGCTGTAACTGTTTGAGAGTTGGACAGAACTAGTCTAGAGATGTCTATTTGGCTGAGAAAGAACTGAACAGGGGAAATCGAGCATAAGATGAAAGCCTAGAAGCTGAGATTGCAGAATGGGAGAATTATGCTATTTTTATTAGAAAAGATGACCTAGGGCTGTTCACGGGTCGGGTCAGGTCGATTATGGACCCAATTAGTACGCCAAATCGGGTAATGTCGCCCAAATCGAGCATAAGATGAAAGCGGAAGGGATCTTGTTGCTGTTTCTTGAGAGCAAATTCAAAAGATTAGATGGAATCGCAAGCGACCGAGAGAGAGCGAGAGTTGCTGAGAGAGAGCGATAGAGAAATCTGGAAGAAGTTGGCGGCGGATTTGGGGAGAGGAGGTTGAGAGTGAGAGACTCAGTGAGAGAGGCAGAGGCGGAATGACAAAAATAATCAAATCCCCTCAAATGTTTAGGGTTTCGCCCGATCGAGTTTGGCAAGGAATAGAAATGGAATAAAATGGACAAATCATCCCCTGACACGTGTATTAATAATTTTTAAAATAATATAATTAAAATATTCTGGTCGGTCTGGTTTTCACCGGTTTGGGTGGTTTTTTTATACCGGTTTTTCGAATTTTTCTATATCAAACCGAATCAAACCACCTAAAGCAATCCGATTTGATTGGGTTTTCGGTAATAATGCCCACCCCTACCTATTGGTCAATAAATACTGCTGCAACGAGGAGACATGGAAGCCCTTCAACCCACACAGATTCTAACCTAGAATCTAAGTTATATTACAATGGTTTTGTTGGTGTAAGAAAAGTGCCAAAATACAATGAAATTCCAAATAAAAACCTTACAATCACTCCCTTTGGCCTTTTCTTAAACCCAAAAAAAAAAAATGAAATTCAAAGACTAACTCATCTAAAACTATTAAAAAAACCCTTTATAAAACATGGAGCCTGCACAAGCTTCACAAGAAAGATTAAAAGATTTCAAGTATAATGTTTTTGTCTCTGTTTTTCTATGTAATCCCTCATCTTGATTACTACTATTCTTTAGGTCATTTCTGATACATGTTTTTTGTTTCAACTAAGGAGGAATTTGAAATTGAAATTGAGCATATCCGAAATTGAAATTGCTGATGAACTGGCAAAGGTGAGTCAATTTGTGAGTTGGGGGACCATCCATTTTCCATTTTCCATTTTCCATTTCACCATCTGGTGGTTTGCAGGCAGATGTGAGTTGGGGGTCCCTTTTTTTCAATAAACATTCAGTCTCCCTACATGCGATGTTACTAATTTTATTTTACTAAAAAAGTATCAGACAGGATATCAAAATAAGCCCTTGATTGAGTATTCATTGCCCAAAGATTTTCTTACTTGGATACAGCACAATTGCCTCAAGAAGTAGAGAGGTTTAACTTGATATGAAAGAAGAGCCCAGAATTGAATTATTCATTACTCTCAGTCTCAGCTTATGACAACAAAGTTTTAAACAGAGGATATTGGCCTAAATTCCTAAACTTGTTAGGGCATTAACTTCATCCCACACGACAAGAATTTCATAAACATATGCATACAAACTTCTTGCTGTTGTCCACTCACATTCAACAACAAAAATATAGCAAACACAACAAACCAAAGATGCTAACAACTCTACCAGTAATGTATGCTACTAAATCTTAAGCATGCTTTGCCTGGAAATCCTTCATGAAAGCAACCAACTTCTCAACCCCAGCCAAAGGCATGGCATTATAAATTGAAGCCCTCATCCCTCCCACTGACCTATGCCCCTTGAGCTGAACCATCTTCTCTTTCGCTGCCTCCTTCACAAACTCAGCTTCCAACTCCGGCTTCTCGAGAGTAAACGGCACATTCATCAGTGACCTCACAGACTTCTCAACTGGGCACCTGTAAAACCCTTTGCTCTCATCAATGGCGTTGTACAAAAGATCAGCCTTCCTCTTGGTTCTTCTTCTCAATCTCACTCAAACCACCCTGCCCTGCTCCAAAAAATCCTCAAACACCAACCCACACGTATATATCAAAAATCCTCAAATATTCCTCTTATAATTCATTAGTTATTGTTAGAGAAAAACGCCAAGATGATTCTTAAAATGAAAGGCACCAACATGTGTTTAACCAGAAGTACATGCTATTGCTCTGACGCAACCAATTTCAACAATTAGCTGTTTTAGACTAGTAGTCGATTCTTCACCATTTCATGACCATAACTACTTGAGTCATGGTGGCTGTTCCTTACCTGCTCTTCATCCAGTGTCGTTTGGTTGTTTACGAGTAAGGTAATATTCTACTGTGAATTGTTAAGCAATGATCTTCATCTTTCAGTTCCACATTTGTTACAGAGATATGTTACTCTTAACAACACCTTGCAGCATATCAATTACATATCTTAAGAGTTTTGAAGAAACATGCGGGGTACTATCTCCATGCTAATCTAATTACATATCTTGTTTTCTTGATGTTTTTTCCCTCCAACAATTTTTATCTTATTGCTCGTTATAGGAAATGCTTATTGTTCAAAGTTTGAATGGAGTTATTCTTGAGATAATAATTTTTGCAATAAGATGTGACACACTGAGAGCTCAAAATGAAGCATCTTCTGGAGAAGATAAAAAAAACAATGAAAGACCTCAAATTACGGTGTAAAAATTTGAAGGTAATTTGCTTTAATCTCTCTCTTTCTGCTCCTATAAAATGTTTAAATTTTTAGGTTCTCTTAATTGTATTCATCATTTTAGGAGGAGCACAGTTCATTTCGTGATCCTGCTGATAAAATGATTGTGGAGAAGGACAAAGAAATTTCTAGACTTATAGATATGGTAACAAGAATCTTCATCAATCATTGGACTCAACACCACGAATATGTTCCTTTTTCTTAAGTGACATCTAAAATTTATCCTTTCATTTCAATTTTCTGATAATTTTTTTCTTCCGTATTTGTAATCCATTGTCCTGACATTGCGGTGTATAACCTCAGGCTGATGATAACGATAATTATAACACAGGTAGGAGGATCCTGAGTACAATGTCTTATTATCTGTTCCAGTTAGATGAAGAGTTTCTTTATAACTGGAACTATGGTGTTTTTGACCTGTTGGTGTACCTAGTGGAGTTCTAACATTTCTTTTTCTTCACACTGGTATAATCAGGCACGTATAAACAGGACACATCAAGTATAAGCAACTCTGCTGCAGAACAGCAGATTCTTGTAATTATATTTTCTCTCTAGATTTTTCTTGCTTTTAATTGTTATATTTACTTTCAAGTCTTGCCAAGAAAAAAAGAAGAAGGAAAACTTGGGTTATTGCACCCGGTTTTTGTATTATAATATTATGGCTGGTTATACCTAGGTGCTTCACTTTTGTAGTGATGAACTTAATGGTATAATGGCGGTCTAGAGTGCTGATATTTATGATAACCAGGCTACTTGGGGGCTTTAAGATCTTACTATGAGTTCAACTGTACAAGTTGTACACTGGCTTTTTCCTTTTCATGCTGTGCATCCAAATGTGTTCATATACTGTTTTACTTTTAATATGAATTTCAGATTTTGGCAAGGCAGCAAGCCCAAAGAGAAGAAGAACTAGCACAGTCACCGCGGCACATTTTAGCTCTTCAAGTGTGTAATCCCTCATATTGATTACCACAGTTCTTTAGGGCAGTTCTGAATGATGCATGTTTTTTGTTTCAACTCAGAAGGAAATTGAGGATCTGGAGCGTGAGAATCGGCTGCATAGCCCACGGGTATCAAGAAGCCTGGATTTTTGCAGATTTTAGCCCCTGTTGTTTTGGCTGATTGATTTCAATTGTTTGGAAATTCCTTTTGAAAGTTGTAGTAAATAATAGAATGTGTATGAATTGAGCAGATCTGAAAATGAAATTGCTGATGAACTGGCAATGGTGTGACATATATGCAGGAATCCATGTTGAAGGCTGAGCTTCACAACATGGAAAGAACGCAGAAGAGGGAAGGAGTAGATATGACATACCTGAAAAATGTAATCTTAAAGCTTCTTGAAACAGGTATTTCTATTATAGACTGATGTAACAATCAAAGTCGTCAATTTTATATTCAATAGGTGAAGTGGAATGTCTGATTGTTTTTATTACTCAAATAGGTGAAGTGGAGGCCCTATTACCTGTAGTTGCTATGCTGCAGTTGTAGTTAGTTGTCTATGATACTCCGAAACTATCACACTTCCCTTGTGGTTTCCTTAGATTGTCAATTCCATTCTAATTTATGCACTTTATATATGAATGCAGATGCACAAGTGTCAACAAGCGTACCGAGCATCCGGAGATGTTCCTCCTAGTCCAGTGAGTGATGCTTCAGGATCTGCGACTTCTCTTTTCTCAAGATTCTCATTTTCATGACCACAGAAGTGAGATTGTAGATGCACGGAAACTGGCTGCTCCAGCTAACCAACTGCTTGCCTCCAGATTCAAAGGTGGAGGGTGCGGTCATAGTAAATCTTGTATTCTTTTGTAACGGTGAACCCCTTGTTTATCAACACTGTCCAGAAAATGTAAAGTACGACATAGCCATTATACGTCACGAAGAGATAGAGAGAGGGTGAGTGAACATTTTGGCCGGGATCTGTAAGGAACCCCCTATTCTCCATTTATTGTAGAGTGTAACAACAGAAGAGCAACGGTGTGATTTTGGAGATTATATTGGGACAAGAGTACCTATCAGAATGTTGAAGGCGCGGTTCTACGCAGCATAAGATTTTACGCATAATCCGATAATGGTACAGGATAAATCTCAATAGTAGTCAGATAGTAGAGCCTCCTCAGCGGCAGATCTTTGTCTTCGACTATGCCTTGTTCACGTTGCGATACATCTATTGCCTTTGAAGTGATGAGCTATATTTGTTTCCATGGTAATGAGTTGAGACCATGACCATCCATTTTGCATTCCACCATCTAGAGACTTGATCACCTCAGTTCATCATTCACTCTTGGTCTAATGGGTGCTGAAGTAAAAAAGAATAGAAAATAGTAGGGGTGGGCATAAAAACCGATAAACCGATCAAACCGACCGAACCAACCCAACCCAAACCGAAAAAGAGCGTTTTTTGACCAAACCGAAAAAGTCAAACCTGGACCTGAACCGAACCGAAGGTCCACGGTTCGGCTCGCGGTTCTAATTTTTTCAGAACCGGTGGACCTGAACCGAACCGGTAATATTTAAATATATATATAATTTACACGTGGCCTCGTGTGATTGGCCAAAAACAGAGAAAGTGTGAGAGTGCTTGCACCAGATCCCTTACGCAATTTTTTTTTTTTTGCACCTAAGTCACACACACGCTAGTCTCTCTCTCTCTCTCACTCAGTCTGAGTCTTCTCTTCGTTTTTTCTTTTCGTTTTTGACCTAAGCTAAGACCAAGCGGCGCCTCACCTCACCTCTCTCTCTCTCGAGCTCGACCAGGCGACCAGCCTCAGATCTCTCTCTCTCTCGAGCTCGACCCGCCTCAGCTCTCTCTCTCCACCTGCCTCAGCCTCAGCTCTCTCTCTCTCTCGAGCTCGACCCGCCTCAGCTCTCTCTCTCTCTCGACCGCGCCGCCTTCAGCCCTGCACGCAGCGGCAGGTCAGCTTCTATTTCTCTTATCTGTTACATTTTTTCTCAGTCGCTTCTTTGCTCCGCTAACTCTCTCTTCTTATCTCGATTTTTCTATTTTTTCCCAGCGGCAGGGCACCAAATCGACATCTATTCCTTCCTCTCCTGCGATTTCTTCTGTGGGTTTCTCTCTCATATCAGTCAAAGGTGATTAAATTTATGGTTTATTCTAGCATCATCTTCCTTTGAATTTAGGGTTTATTCTAAATTAAATATATGGTTTTTTTTCTTTTAAATTAGGCTTGTCGATTTGGTGGTTGAGGTTGATGTGATGATATATTTTTTCTGTTAAGGTTTTAGCCTTTAGGGTTGTCGATTTAGGGCTGCCACCAATTAGGTTATGCTGTGTTGTGATGATTATTTGAAATTGACAAAGAAATTATGAACTGTAAGTATCATGCATTATACAAATTAGGGCTGCTAGCATTTAGGTTCTTCTGTTAAATTGTTCTAATTAGGGCTGCTACCAATTAATTTTTGTTTTATGAAATTAGGGAGTTGTATGCATAGGAAAATCTGTTTTGACAGTTGGCTGCTACCCTTTTTTTGATTTCATTCACAGTTGTTTAGCATCGTTGCTGCTACTGAGCTTTGAAAGTTGGGAAAATTTTGCTTAAATGGAGGTAAATATTCGCTGCTGCTGCTAATCTATTTAAATCTATTTTTGTAATCTGTTTAAATCTGTTTTTGTAATCTGTGTTTGTAATATGTTTAAATCTGGTTTTGTAATCTGTTTTTGTAATCTGTTTTTATAATCTGTTTTTGTAATATGTTTTTATAATCTGTTTTTATAATCTGTACTGTGTGTATAATCTGTTTGTAATCTGACTTTGGATAGGAAAATCTATTTGTAATCTGATTTTTGGATAAGATATATGTTTAGGGAGTTGTATGCATAGGAAAATCTGTTTTGACAGTTGGCTGCTACCCTTTTTTTGATTTCATTCACAGTTGTTTAGCATCGTTGCTGCTACTGAGCTTTGAAAGTTGGGAAAATTTTGCTTAAATGGAGGTAAATATTCGCTGCTGCTGCTAATCTATTTAAATCTATTTTTGTAATCTGTTTAAATCTGTTTTTGTAATCTGTGTTTGTAATATGTTTAAATCTGGTTTTGTAATCTGTTTTTGTAATCTGTTTTTATAATCTGTTTTTGTAATATGTTTTTATAATCTGTTTTTATAATCTGTACTGTGTGTATAATCTGTTTGTAATCTGACTTTGGATAGGAAAATCTATTTGTAATCTGATTTTTGGATAAGATATATGTTTAGGGAGTTGTATGCATAGGAAAATCTGTTTTGACAGTTGGCTGCTACCCTTTTTTTGATTTCATTCACAGTTGTTTAGCATCGTTGCTGCTACTGAGCTTTGAAAGTTGGGAAAATTTTGCTTAAATGGAGGTAAATATTCGCTGCTGCTGCTAATCTATTTAAATCTATTTTTGTAATCTGTTTAAATCTGTTTTTGTAATCTGTTTAAATCTGTTTTTGTAATCTGTGTTTGTAATATGTTTAAATCTG